GGAGCCTGATGTGGGACTCAATCTCAGGACCCTGGGATCATGATCTGAGCCCAAGGCAGATGCTTAACCCACTGAGCCACCCAGACGTCCCTGTTCTTCATGTCTTGACAGTAGTTCCCCTTCTGTCCATTTCTGCTGCCACTACTTTTGCAGTTTTCATCATTTTTCCTTATTTAATTATGAGATTCCTCACTGGTCTCCTCATCTCCATTCTTGCCCTCCTCTAGTCCCATTCTGCTATAGCCACCCAGAATGGCATGGCTGCCTGTGTCGGAGGTCCACAAGATCACCCCACATTCAGGGATTTGCTGGAAGGATGTGGAGCTCAGCCTATAGTTGCACTCATGGCTAAGATTATGCCCGTGATCTTGCAAGGACGTACAGCTAGGTCATATGGGGCAGAGACAGAGTCTGGAGAAACCCATATGCAGGCTTTCTTGTGCTCTCTCCCCACCATGAGGGGTCACACCATACACATCCTCTCCAGCAATGAAAATGCAACAACATGTGTGTGATGTTCCAGCTCACAAAAGCTCATTAGAGACTCAGAGCCCAAGTTTTTTTTATTGAGGGCTGGTTAGGTAGGCACCCTCTGCCTAACACATTCCAAAATTCTAGACCCTCTAGCAGGAAAGCAAGTGTTCAGCATAAACCACATTGTTTGCTCAAATAGTTTAGGCATAATGGACCACCCTTCTTTCTTAGGGAACCCTTCCAAAATCAAAGTTCCCAGACCCCAGCCAAGGACCAATCTGGCAAGTAGAACTTTCTAAGAATAGCTGTCTTGGATCTGCTGTAACTTTCCTGTATACCCCCATTCCTTCCTGTTATTTTTCCTGTACACCAAAGTAAATACATACTCATAAAAACAAAAATCAGGATATAAAGAATTATAAGAAATAGAATAAAACCACTTGTAATGCCACCACTCAAATTCCACTTACATTTTAGTATATATTCTTTTGGTCTTTTTTCTATACATATATGCATACACAAATAAGTAATTTTAAGTATGCATTCTTCACTTAATATTTGTGAATTTGTTTAAAAAAATTTTTTTTAACAAAGCATCACAAACAAAGTTGAACTCTTCTGGTTATCTGTCCCAATTCCATATCCCTCCCTTCCCAGAGATAACTCACAATTTGGTACTTACTGTCCCATATAGATTTTTGTAGATATTATTTACCTGTTTTTAAGTTGTTTTTTTTAAAGATATATTTATTTGAGAGAGAGAGAAAGAGCGTGAGCTTCATAGGGAGGAGCAGAGGGAGAGGGAGAGAGAATCTCAAGCAGACTCCCCACTGAGTGTGGAGCCTGATGCAGGGCTCAACCTCATGACCCTGAGATCATGGCTCTAAGATCATAACCTGAGCCAAAATCAAGAGTCAGAGGCTTAATTGACTGAGCCATCCTGGTGCCTTGTTTTTAAGTTTTATATAGATATTACACAGTAATTCTAAAACTTTCTTATTTTTTGCTCAGTAATTTTTGTGATTTATTATTAACACAAGACTACTTCATTCATCTTAATGTATAATATTCCAATACACATAAGTTCACACACATAAAATAACAATTTATCCTTCTGATGAATATTTAAGTTGTTTGCAGTTTATCACTAGTGATCTTTTCCTCAGTGATTCGTAATGCCAGCTCAGTTGTATATCAAGTTTCCCTACATGTTTGGATATGTTGGGGGATTTTTTATTCTAGTCTATTGGTCTGTTATCTGTGTGGCTATTTTTTCATGAAAGTAAAAATCACATTATAGCATAGAGGTTAAAAACTGATTGACAGACCTGGGTTCAAATTCTACCTCAGCTTCTTTTAACCTTAACTTTCCTAATCTGTAAAATAGTACCATCCTGGGATGGAGCCCTGCATCGGGCTCCCTGCTCATCAGGGAGTCTGCTTCTCTCTATTGTTCTGCCTCTCCCCCAGCTTGTGCTCTCTCTCTCTCACTCTCTCCCTCAAATAAATAAAATAAAATCTTTAAAAATCAATTAATTAATTAAATAGTACCTACCTTATTGATTTGTGAATATGGAATTAAATTATCCTGAGAAAGAGTGCTTAGTTGGGACACCTGGTTGGCTTAGTCAGTTAAGCGTCTGACTGTTGATTTCAGCTCAGGTCATGATCTCAGAGTCACGGGATCGAGCTCCATGTCAGGCTCCCTGCTCATCAGGGAGTCCACTTGTCCTTCTCCCCTCTGCTCCTCCCCCTGCTTGTGTGCTTTCTCTCTCTCAAATAAATAAAATCTTAAAAAAAAAAATAAGAGTGCTTAGCACAGTGCCTAGTAAGTAGCAAATACTCAATAAATGCTAGTTGTTATTAATATGATATTAAATGGTATTACAGTGTATGGATAGGCTAGATTGCAAATTATTTAATCATATCTCCTGTTTTAGAAACATAGGATATTTCAAATTTTTCCTGTACTGTAAGGATTAAACGAGATAATACATGTAAAGTGCTTAAAAAGTTACCACATGTAGTACTCAGTAAAGGTTAGTGTTAATGATGACTAAGGATATTTTCACTTATTTCCTTAGGATAAACTCCTAGGAAAGATTTGCTGAGCCAAAGAGTATGTGTATTCCAAGGCCCTTTCTACAAATTGCAATGATCTTTCTAAAACACAAATCTGATGATAATACTTCCATGTTTAAATTCTTCAGTGATCTCCTTGCCTGTGGTCCCTCTTCCATGTATGGGACCATACAAAGCTGTCCTTGATCTAGCTGGTCTCTGTCTACTTCGCCACAGCACTGCTCACAGCCTAGACCTCTGCCATTCTAAACTAGTTACAGTTGTTAATCTTGTCCATGTAAAGACCCGCCTCCTTGTTTTTGAAAAACTTGGTGTTTTTCCTGCCTAAAATGTTCCACCTCCTCTCCCAAATCAAAACTTACCTTATATCCCATTTCTGCCAAGGAATCTACAGCCTTCTATGTGGGTGAGGCAAGCCTCTGATAGGCTTTCATAGTTTGTTGTGGGTATGTCTTTATAGTATGGATCCATCCTGTAGTGACACATTTGGGTTACTTGTTTGTCCTATGTTCTAAGCTATAAGCTTTTGGGGAACAAGGATAGTGTCCTAAAGTTTTTGTGTTTGGTATAAATAGTTGGTGCTGAATAGATGTTGGTTGGATAGAAGGATGAGTGAATAGCAAGGATCAATACCCATATCCTCTTGACTGCAGGAGAGTAATCAGTGAGCCACCTCTTTGCCTCATCCTTCCTTGGGACCACACTTCCCGTCCCACTCATGACTCCTGGAAGTGCTTGACTTAACTGTGTTTAATTAGACTCTTGACTGTGGGAAACTGAGACCTACTCAGCTAACTCAAGTAAAGGGAGTTTAGTGATAGGATTCACGCCAAGCCTAAGAAGGTTAGAGTGTTACAGCAATCCAAGAATAAATAAGGCTGGTCTAAATGCAAATTGGAGCCCAGGGGTGGTACTGCATGAATTGAGGGACTTCAAAGCCAGTAAAAAAACTCTTAGGTCTTTGCTCCAGTGCTTCACCACTAATGTGACTAGGCTCTTCTTCCCCCCAGCCTAAGTCTAGTCTTATCGGGTCATGCCTTCCACAGACTCATGGGTTCTGCTTCCTGGTAACTTTGGCTCCCCTGATCCTCATAGCTACTTCCATCCCTCATGATATTCTTTTCAGCTCATCGCCCACCTGTTGTCCTGACATTTCTTAGTTTATATTCACCTTTTCAAGCTAGATCACATCTCAGTCTACTACCTGAGGCATACGTCAGTGTGGCTCCAGGAGTGAGACACAGCATCACGTGGAACAAAACATGGCTGCCCAATGGCTACTCCTTTAGCACAGGGTTGCAAATGGGGTATTTTTCCCTTAAAGAGGCTGTGGGTGGGACGCCTGGGTGGCTCAGTCGGTTAAGTGTCTGCCTTCAGCTCAGGTCATGATCCAGGGTCCTGGGATCGAGTCCCACATCGGGCTCCTTGCTCAACAGGGAGCCTGCTTCTCCCTTTGCCTGCCACTCCTTCTGCTTGTACTCTCTCGTGCTCTCTGTCTAGCAAACAAATAAATAAAAATCTTTAAAAAAAAAAAAAGAGGCTATGGGTATTTACTTGACATGTCTTTCCATATAGTCATTTATAAGATTTCTTAGACTTTTTATCTGGTAACATCAGGGCAATATTGAATGTGAACTTATAAATATAGTATAAGCTTCATATGTTCTTGATTCCCAGGAACAGAACTCTTCCTCTGGGATCATGGTCAAACCAGCACCCCCTTGTGTCCTGACTAACAATATCCATGGCCTTTTTTTTTTTTTTAAGATTTTATTTATTTATTTGACAGAGAGAGACACAATGAGAGAAGGAACACAAGCAAGGGGAGTGAGAGTGGGAGAAGCTGGCTTCCCGCTGAGCAGGGAGCCCGATGCAGGGCTCAATCCCAGGACCCTGGGATCATGACCTGAGCTGAAGGCAGACGCTTAACGACTGAGCCACCCAGGTGCCCCTATCCATGGCCTTTCATTCCAATTCTGGGTTGGGGTGGTGTTGCTCCTGGCCTTGCTTTGCCTTGCCTTCCCTTTTTGTAGGGTATTAAGAAAAAGAATGAGTATATAACTCACTGGTATTTGGAGATTTCTTGCTTTATGGGTCAGAAAACTACAAACCGTCTAAGACTGGTCTTTCTCATACTGTCTTTCCCATCCCACACCTCTTCTTCATTAGGACTCTGCCCTTTTCTACCAGGAGAGCACACAGGAGGAATGGCTGCTGTGTCTCCGACTGCCAGGTGCCAGGTGAGGTGGACTTTGTTTGTCTGAAATACTCTGTGTGTCTCCAGATTGCAACCACTTTTCTCTCTCTATCCAGAAGCTTCTTCAGTCAAACTTAGCCAGGTGAATGAAGGGCTCTGGAGGAAATGCATCTTTCCCATTTGATTTGTCGTATCCATCAGTGACCTTTTCTTGCCTTGAGCATGTGCGCATTAGCTTGTCACCAGGCACATGGCCACTGTGGCCTGGGCTCTGAGAGTTTTGCCTAAAAAAATGATGGTATAGGTTGGCTTGGATGGTTTGGGGAACAGTTCTAGTCCTGACTTCCCTTCAGTGCATCCCTCTGAGAGCAGATCCCACAAAAGTGCATCCCTCTGAGAGTGGACCCCAAGTATTCCAGGAAGTGTTGGATTAGGCTGGGGAATATGACACTTGCTGAAGAGCCCCTCAGTGAGGTGGTGAGAGTCCCGAAGAGAGATGAGTGTGGGTAGAGACATGGGGCTTGCCCCATTCCTGCCTACGGACCTGGAGTCTTGAATTCTATGCTCTGGCTAATAACTTCAGCAAGCACACTGGAGACTCATCTGGGGTTTTAGGATTGGGGGTAAAGATGCAGTCTTACACAATCACAAAGCATTAGCATGAAATGAGGGGATCTGAAGGACAACCTAATCAACACCATCATTTTAAGGATTTGTAAAGAAACCCAGATAATGGGTGGAATTCAAATAAGGTTGTAGATTATAGTATAATATCAATGATATTTTCTTGACTTTCATTACTATACTGTGATCATATAAGAGAATATCCTTGTTTTTATGAAATATGCATAAAATCTGAGTAAAGAGGCATCATGTTTGCAAGTCGCTCTCAAGAAGTTCAGGAAAAAGATAGGATAATGTGTATATACTGAGAGAGACAAAAAAGATAAAGCAAGTGTGGAAAATGTTAACATTTGGGGAAGCTGGGTGAAGGGTGTACATAGGCTTTCTCTGTTCTGTTCTTGCAAATTATCTGTAAGTATGAAAAAAGAGCCCCTGACATTCACAGGCTCAGCTGTGAATATAAGGATTATGACCAAGAACTTCATGCCTCAGGGAATTATGCCACTTACCCCAAGTGCTTCAAAACCCTACTTTATCAGAACCATTTCGCTTCCCCTCCTTCCACAACCCCAGGGCTATCACCTTTATGACTGTTTTGTCTGGTCCATATAAAGAGAAGGGTTATGAGTAAGGGACAATGTGATTGTGTTTCCAGGAATCAGTGACATTCGAGGATGTGGCCGTGATTTTCACAGATGAAGAGTGGAGGCATCTAGTCCCTATTCAGAGGGACCTCTACAAGGAGGTGATGCTGGAAAACTATAAGAGCATTGTCTCATTGGGTAAGGAGAACTTCCTGTAAGAAGTTAGACTCTGTACTGTGTTAATGGGGGGTTGAGGGCCCAATAAATGATACCTCTTCTCCCACCTGAGTTCTGAAGCACCAAGAGACAAGATGGGAGAGTAGAAGGATATGGCTTAGGTAAGCTTCTTAATGCTGAACCCCAGCATTGGACAGACTTGCTTCCTGAGCCATAGGCAGGTTGTACAACCCCAGCCTCCCTTGCTCAGCATCCTGTCCCTACAGTACAGAGGACCCACTCTCCAAAGGGGGAAAGGAGCAAACAGAAGAAGCTGAGTTACATATGCCCAGTTTCTCCCCCAGCTCATCAGTCAGGTAACTTACTCAGCTCCATCCAGAGGACTAAGGGCACCATCTTGTTGAGAGAAAATTTCTCCTCAGAGAAGCAGAGGAGGGGAGGGAGAAGTGTTTCCCTTTAAAAAGAGGGCAGTAGGTGTAGAAATACAAGGCTGTGCCTCAGAGTAGGTCACTAGAAATGAGTTTGATTTTGAATATTTATCTTAAGTGCAGTCAGAGAGAGGCCTGCAGAAGGCACTTTGCTGTTATAGAGACTTGTGTGACAAAAGGAAAATTAAGAATGACTGCTGATGGAGGCGCCTGGCCGGCTCAGTCTGTAGAGCATGCAACTCATGATCTCGGGGTCGTGAGTTTAAGCCCCACACTGGGTGTAGAGCTTACTTTAAAAAAAAGAAAAGAGGGCGCCTGGGTGGCTCAGTTGGTTAAGCGACTGCCTTCGGCTCAGGTCATGATCCGGGAGTCCCTGGATCGAGTCCCGCATCGGGCTCCCTGCTCGGCAGGGAGTCTGCTTCGTCTTCTGACCCTATCCCCTCTCATGTGCTCTCTGT